TTTCATATCCAATTACAGGTTGCAGAACCAGAACAGAAAGCATGCCCTGTGAGGGCAGCTCAGTTTGCAGAGGAAGAAGGAAGAGGAGATAGACAGGCTAAGTTATGCCTCCTGGACTCACCAAATTAAATGAGGCACTTACCGTTCCAAGAGACAGAGTACACAGAAGAGAGAAAGGAGGCCTGAGATTACTCCAGATGAATCCCCTCTACGTGGAAGAAAACAGGAATCTGCCATCAAGCTCTTCCCTCTCATTGTGTATCTTAAGTTTCACATTAGTTCACACTGATCTTTTTAGTGTACAGGTTCCTATCACAAGTATCATTTTCATGGTCATGTGCCTTAATTATGGTTTGTTTTGCCTTAATCATTGGATAGGTTTAGTTTGATTTCTCTTTCACTTATTTTTGTCTGTTCCAGTGCTGAACTTCTCAGCATGTAAACTCCTTGATGGTAGTAGGAGCTGTGCCCACTTAGCATATCCTATGTGCTTCCAATGACATAATACCATGTAGAGAAGGAGAGTTTCAGTTTATGACCTATTTGTTATCAATACGTTCCAGTTAAAAATATTAGAGCTAGCCCTGGCTGGTGAGGCTCAGAGAATTGAGCATCAGCCTGTGAAACTAAGGGTCACTGGTTCGATTCCTGGTCAGGGCATATGTCTGGGTTCCCAGGTGAGGGCATGTTAGAGGCAACCAATTAATGTTTCTCTTTCACATCAATGTTTCTGCTCCCCCCCTCATCTTTTTCCCTCCATTTCCCTCTCTCTAAAAATAAATAAAATCTTTAAATTATATATTTCATCTGGAAGAGACCTTAAAGATGATATGATCAGCTTCATCTTACAGAATGGAAAATGGAAGTGCCAGAATACAAAGTGGCTTGGCGATGACCTAGTCAATGACAGGACCAGGATAAGACTTAAAATCTCTGGTCTTTCTTGGTTTGTGTGAAGACATCTGTGATCTTGAATATCTCCATACTCTAAAGTATCTGCCTTATTGCTACTATACAAAATTCTCTGCAGAGGATATTCTAGAATGGTTTCTATAGTAGAGCTAAGCTTGACAGGTTTTATTAAAATGGACTATGATGCAGAATGAGAGTGTATACAAAGTTAGAAAGAAAGAAAAATGTATTTTCATAGATTATGATTATAAAGTTTAATAAAGGTATTAACCTGATTCATATTGCCTACATTTTAAAAACCCACCCATTTAATAGCCAAAAATGTAATTAAACTTAGGGTTTGGTTTCCAGACCCCAGCAGTATTATATAGGTTTGCAAACACAAAACTCTGATCTTGCTCTCACTAACTTTCAAGGGTGATCAGGCAGAATAAAAAAGGGAGGAGAAATTTCTCAAGCAGAGAGGATAATAGCATGTCCTTCTAAATTACTTACATTTTATTTCCAGTCCTGCCATTGACTTACTATGTGACCTTGAGTGAGTCATTTCATCTCCATGTGTCAATTTTCTCATTTGTAAAATAGAACAATAAATACTACTTTCCTTCTCTCTCCTGGGTGATGTTATTATCACCATCAATTAATATTTATTGGATGCCTGTTTGTCACATAATACTGAGGTAAGAGCTTTGTTCTGGGCATGGAGTGGGAGTCCAGAGGAGGTTATAGGAGTGAAACATTTTCCATGAGCAAAAATAGTACAAGATTTACAAAAGACAGCATTGTCAGAGCTTAAAATATTTTGGGCTGATATTTTAGAGTGTGCTTCTTGGCCAAGACTCATGTAGTTGCAATGTTTTTCTTAGTGATTGTACAATGCACCAGGATAGTGATGGTGCAGAATACTGATTTTGCTTTTTGAGGATTCTAAATAACACTGTCTTAAGAATTACTGTGTTTTCTTTTTTTTAGCCATAAATTATATCCTAAACAAAATTTACTTAGAAATACTTATTAGATATTGAAGGTATCAGGTTTGCTTTACCAAGCCATTAACTTAGTTTTAAAAAACAACTTTTAGTCCTGGCTGGTGTGGCTCAGTGGACTGAGCACCACCCTGCGAACCAAAGGGTCACTGGTTCAATCCCCAGTTAGGGCACATGCCTGGGTTGTAGGCCATGTTTCCATTGGGGGTGCATGAGAGGCAACCATACATTGATGTTTCTGTCCCTCTCTTTCTCCCTCCCTTCTCCTGTCTAACAATAAATAAATAAAATCCTTAAAAAAAAACTTTTAAGAAACAGAATAAGTACACATCAAACATGCAACATTGTAAAATACTTTTTTTTCAAAGGGAATGAAGAGAAATCTGAAAAGTCACCTACTAACACATTTGAGCTAAAACCAAAACTTCAATGCTGGCCAGTCTACACTAGGCAGTCCAAATGGATGAGAGTTTCCTATTCCCTCCAAACCCATTCTGTCTTCCCATCCCTCTATCACTTACCTGATTCAGACTCTTACTTCCTCTCATCTGGACTATTCACGGAGCCTCTGACCTTGTTTCACTCACTCTGCTCTCTTCCTTTTACCATGTGCCCTCCATACCACTGACAAAGCAGTTTTCATAAGTAAATTTATGAATGGTTAAACAAAACATTGGCATATAAAACCAAAATATTATTTATTCATAAAAGGAATGAAATGCTGACATATGCTACAACATGGATAAACCTTGAAGATACTATACCAACTGAAATAAGCTGGACACTCAAGGACAAATATTACATAATTCCCCTTATATAAGGTACCTAGAAAAGGCAAATTCATGGAGACAGAAAGAAGGTGCTTACCAGGGGCTGGGGAGAGGATGATGGGAGTTACTGTTTAAAGAATACAGAGTTTATATTTGAGGTAATAAAAAAGTTCTGGAGACATGATGATGGTTGCAAAACACTGTGAATGTACTTGATATTACTGAATCATATACTTAAAATGGTTAAAATTGCATGTTTTATGTTATGCATATTTTAACACAATAAAACAAAAATTTTAAAAGTAAAATGGGTCCTATAATTTTCTGGTACAGAAATGATTACTATTTACAGAATAAAGTCCAAACTCCTTGGTATGACAGTAATAATCCTTCAGAATCAAGCTCCAGATTATCTTTCCAAGATTATCTTTGGCACAGCTACTCTATAGAGATATCTTTCAATCATATTGGCAAAGTAAGGGTCCTTGAACCTGAACCTTACCTTGTTCCTCTGTTCTTGGGCCTTTTCATCCAGTGTTTTGCACCCAGAGGCAGCCTGACTGATGCATGATACCCATAGAGGATATTATTTTCAATAGTCACTAATTTGGAACTAAAGGTTACTGGATTGACAAATTAAACTATAAATAATAGAGCTAATAACTAGAACCCTGCTTAGAGCTCAAGGCCAAGCTTGGAAAAACATGCAATCAGAGATTCTGTAAGTAATGGTTTCTTTTTTTTCTATAAATGCACAAGACTTTTATTAGGATTATTTATTATTATTATTATTTTTATTATTATTATCATTATTATTATTATCATTATTATCTGGATCCAAGCATTCCTGTCTCAGTCATAATATAATGCTATAATGCAGTGGTCTGAAGAGAGAATTTCATCTCCACCTTCTACTGTCTGTGTGGTCTTGAGCATATTTTTGAACTGTTCTGTGACTTTGTTTCCATGTCTACAAAGTGAAATGACTGACAGTACAACTACTTGGGTTTGTTGTAAATGTTAAATAAAGTAATTCAGGTAATGTATTTAGCACCACATTCAATAAATGTTAGCTAACATTATTAATGTTTGTGTATATATTTGTTTTCAGGAATTGGTCTTTTAGATTACCAACGACTTTTACTCTCATCATTCCAATAGCTTAATATTTAAATGCTTGCCCTTTCTCCCTCATCATGCTAATTAACCTTTTCTTTAAGGAACAGGTTAAGCAATTTCCTGACCATGAAAATGTCTGCATGTGTCCCAGTGCCCCAATGCTCAATAATATAACCTTCTCTAAAATTCCTTAGCACAGTTGAATTTTCTGTTGCCTTGTTTTGTTTGGTATCTTAGACCTTTTCTTTCCCTCGCCTACAGAGAAGTTTCATATGCCATAGCTCACTGTACCCCAATCCATAGAATATTGGTTTATAGAGGTCTGTTGATGATGAAGCTGTGAAGTGCCTAACATAGCATTGCTTACAACTAGATTTGTAATAAATGCTTCTTTACCACAAGCAATAAACAGATTTACTGTTACATATAGGTCAAGAGTGTGTTTTCCTTTATATTGATTGAAGTTACAACTCTGGACAAGATTGTGTTTTATTTAGAAATAAAAACACAGTATAACCTGTTAAAATTTTAAGATCCTGAAGAATTCATGATTTTAAAAATTATATTTTTTCTTAATCCTGAGGTGGGAAAGAGATAGAATATACACACCTGTTTGATTTAATGATCAGTTAACTAACAATTTGACAATTTTACTAACAGTCAATACTAACAATTTAACTGCAGTGCCAGATTTGGAAGCAGTCTACTTTAAACTGAAATATAGGTGTTATTTCAGAAGGCTAAGAAAGCAAGAATAAGATTACTGACTTCCAGGTTTGAGTCAGGTGGTTTACATCCATTAATTTATCCAATCCTTCCAGTAATCCAATGTTATTTTGTTACTGTATTGTTGTTATTATTATTATTATTATTATTCCTCTTTACATACAAGAAAACCAGAGTTCAGAGAATTTAAATGACTTACCTAAAAAAGTGATAGAGCTAGGATTTGATTCCAGGTTTGTGGCTCATTCATGTACAGAGAGAAGCTCTGAAAACATTCTTGGTCCACCACACAGCACTAGCTTTCATGCTGTGCTATGTATAGATCACGTAGGCTGGTGACAGCACAATGGTGGCAAAGCACTTTTCCAGGGCTTCCTTCTCAGGCACCCATTCTCCCAAAGACCACAGCTGTGTCTCTTTAAAAGGAAACATTGAGATGTAAACTATTGCCCTAAAATATGCTGTGCTCTTGAACTCTGAATTATAGGAGCATTGGGAGCACCATTTTTGTTGGAAGACCCAGCAAACCAGTTCCTACATTTCAAAAGACACATATATTTGCAGGATTACTGGAACCCAGATCACAGCCCGAAAACGTGGGAAAACACACTGGCTGATCAGGTATTTGCCTTAGAAACAAATGGCCCTTTAGCAACTACCTTTTCATTAGTTTTTTGTTTTTGTAATTAAGCATGATTTTTTTTGTGACATTCCATGTAGGAATAGTTCTTACATAGATTTATTTTTATTATTTATTTATTTTATTTATTATTGTTCAGTTACAGTTGTCTCACCTCTTTCCCCATTTCTCTCCCCTGTTCAGTCCTCCTGCCCCGCTGCCACTCCCACCACAACCATCTTTTTCAATAGGCATCACATCAGCTAGCCTAGCCCTGACATTTCCTCTCCTTCTGCCATGAGCTATACCTGCCCTTTCTTCTCAACAAAATGCCTTTTGCAAACGTCCCCTCTTTCTGAAGCCTTTCCCAGCTTTCTAGGGAGGCATTTGTCCTTCCTTCTTCTTTCCTTTCGTATGCTGTTTGCATGTGCATAGCTCATGAGCCGTTCACACTGGAATTATTTTTGTGCACCCGACCTCCCTACCTAGGCTACAAAGGTAAAGTGTATGTCTTATACATCAAAATCATCATTCTCAGGAACTACCCAAATGACTGTTATGCAGTCAAGTCTCAGTAAATGATTCTATGTTTGGGTGGGTGAGTGGATGGATTACAGTCACATTTCAGTTCCCACTCACCTGTTCAGCAGCTACTTTCCTTCTGTGACAATTATCCAGTCTTTAATGTCATTTCATTTCCTCTCCTTTTGTATATTTTCCTATTCATTTGTATTCTCACTCCAAGAGAAATAAAGAAGAAACTTTAATTCACCAGTTTTATTTCATCTTTTTGATTGAAAAACTCTTTGAAACTCCAGGCCAAATAAAATTGCTAAATTATCTAAGGATTTCAGTCAGTCATGATTTCCCTCTTAAAATGGCAATTTAGAAAACAAAGGTGTTTAACAATTAATTAATTCCTACACTGATTTGTTCTTTCTTTCCACATGTATTTGGCTCTCAGCACCACAAAATATAAGGGTTAAATAAAATTACTTTAAAAATTGAATTTCCTTGTTTTCCTGGAGCCTGGGGCCTTATTCTGCATAGCTGGCTTTTAACTGGTCTAGCAGGGTTGGCTTGGTTCAGCTTAGCACTTGCTGATGGCAACCACCAGCTTGAATAATGCATCTAACTCTTAGCCTAATTTTCTCCGACAGGCATAATTTAGAGGTATTAAAACAAGACTTTGTTTATTTGGCAAATAAAACTATTACATAGACTGGAAGACTGTGTCTTCTTTATGGAATATTCAAATTTCCAAGTACACTCCTTTCTGTAATTGTGGACCAGGGTTGCAGTCTACTGACAGATGCTATGGTGTCACAAGATGCTACAACCTTGATTCATATCCTGGCCCCACAGATGCTGCAAAATTTCCCAGTAGTGAAATAAACAGATTATTAAACATGTTGAAAACCAAATCTTAATCAGAATTATTCTTCCATTGAATTTCTCTCAATCTTTTAGCCAAATTTTTGTATGATAATCAGGATAATTGATACAGAGGGTGTTCTACACACTCAGAGATCATGACTTGATTTTCCTTTCATTGCAGGTTTATGAAACATGGACTGCTTTGAGAACAACAGCACAGTATTATCTGAATGGGGATACCTTCACCTCTGACATGTCTACTGCCCAGTAAATGTGCTTTGCTGGTTAAGCCAGGACTGCAAAAATGGTGGGAATCAGCACGGCAATGCACCAAAACCAAGGACTTCAGCGAGGTCCTTGGCAAATGCTTGTCCTTTACTAGATTATTTATTACACCTGTCTCATAGAGATGTTGAACAAAAGTAAATATAAAAATTTATCCGCTACCTAGAATTTGAAGTTTTCCATAAGTGGTAGATAACATGAGAACTAAAATAAAAAAGACTGTAGTACACGAAAGTAGTAACATTTACCAAAAAGGGCTTTTATGAAAAAAATAACCTTTTTTAAAAGCACTGTCATTAAAACTCTCTGTTCATAGCCATTGCTTTCTATTGCCTCTTCTTTGTTAGTTTACTTTTTAATTCAAAAAAGAGGGATTTCTCAAATGGAGCTGGCCCTCTTCTCTTTAATATTTGTCACAGACTAAAGTCAGTCTATTTTAAGACCCCACTTCTGAAAAATTTTTCATCAAAAGTGTATTGCTGGGGGCAGTAGAGAGTAAAATCTTAACAATATTGGGTAGTGGTTGATGACTAGGAAACCACTGAAAGCCACTCATCTGTAAGTGTAAACTTCCTCAGAAGTTTTTTTAAATCATTGCCTGAGAATACGTTTATTGATTTTAGAGAGAGAAGGGGGGGGAGAGAGAGAAGGAAACATTGAGGTGAGAGAGAAACATTGTTTGGTTGCCTCCTGTATGCACCCTGACCAGGGACTGAACCCACAACCCAGCTGTGTGCTCTGACCCAGAATCTAACTCACAACTGTTTGGTGCACGGAATGACACTCCAACCAACTGAGCCACCTGGCTTAGTTTTCCTCAGAAGTATTATAAAATGTGTGCAAGTTTGTTTCCTAGTTCATAATATATTATTGATGTTTATTTTAATATGAAACAACAAATTTAACTTACTGGGCAGGGATATTTATTAATCTTTTGTAAAACTGAAAAATTGACTCTATAAAGAAATGTGTACTACACTTATCCTATAGTTTTCCATATACCCATGGAATACCACCTCAGTACTATAGTTTGAAAAATACTGAAGAGATGATACAACCAAATCACTAAGACTGCCCCACCCCAAATCACAGATAAGTGAAATTTTTTGTCTTCAAAAGTATATCTTTCTTTACAGACCTAGGTCCATTGTCCTCTGAGTGGGGAGGGGATTTATTTGGTAAATGGAAGCATTCCCCATAAGACCACAATTGACCTTATGTGTTCTTACAACAGTCTTAAGCACTTTTTCAGTAGTGGGTGTATCAGTAACATAAGATGTCAAGAAGATGCTCTTCTCCAAGAGGACACTGGCAGCTATTAAGTATTCCATTTCTTATTCCATCCCCTAGAAATGTTTTCAGTGAGAAATTAAAAGCTACTGCATGATTTATTATGTTAACTGTTATCTACTTTCAATACAAATAAACAAATTTTTTATTAATAGTTTATTGTATTTCTTCCATTACCATTTATCCCTTTTATACCCTCTTCCACCTCCACTCACCCCCTCCCCCCAACAATCACCACACTGTTGTCTGCCCATGAGTCCTTTTTCCTTTTTTGCTATCTCCTTTCACCCCTAACCCCCCGCCCCTGCTGGCCAGAGCTGTCAGCAAGCTCTCTATGAGTCTGCCTATATTTTGCTTGTTAATACAGTTTGTTCATTAGATCCCACATATGAGTGAAATCATATGGTATTTGTCTTTCTCTGACTGGCTTATTTCACTTAGCATAATGTTCTCCATGTCTATCCATGCTATTGCAACAGAGATTTCAAACACAACTAAATGGACAAAACAAAGATGCATCATTTGGTTTTGCATTAAGAAAAGTTTGAGATTATACATAAACACATCATTAGTGTTTCAACAATAATATACATTTTGCTACCACAATGTTCTACTCTTTGATTATTTAATGCAAAATTAGAGAATGCCTGTGTATTGGTCAGGGTCCTCCAGATAATCAGAATCAATAAGATGTATGTGTGTGTATGCACATATAAAGAGATTTATTTTAAGGAATTGGCTCATGCAGTTAAGAAGGCTGTCAAAGTCCAACAACTACAGGGTATGTTGGCAGGCTGAAGACAAGAGAAGAACTGGGTTGCAGTTTAAGTCCAAAGGCCAGCAGGCTAAAGATTTAGAAAAGAGCCAATGTAGCAGTTCAATTTCTAAGATCATCTGCTGACAGAATCTTCTCTTGCTCAGGAATTCAGTCCATTTGTTTTATTCAGGCCTTCTGCTGATTGGATGAGGCCCACTCACATCATAGAGGGCAATTTGCTTTACTCAAAGTCCACCAATTTAAATGTGATTTTTGTCCAAAAACATCTGTACAGAAACATCCAAAACAATGTTTGACCACATATCTGGGCACAGGAGTCCAGCCAAGTTGACACACAAAATTAACTATTACAACCTACGTGAAATTATTCAGATTGTTTATTCATACACATATACATACAATATGCACAAACTCACACAGCTGTGGTTGGAACAATGCAAAGTGGGAAAAAAAGAAAGACTTTAATTCACTTGTTCAGTATAGTACAAGAAAGTTTAGTGGAGTATGGGCCCTTAATAATGTAAAATTGTAAGTGAGCTGCCAGGTTGATTTTGATTTAAGTAACATGGAAAAGCAACTCTGCTATTAGGTGGTTATGTGATCAAACAAGCATGGAAAGGAGGTTTCTTGTTCAAACGTAAGTCCATGAGAAATTTCTGGAAATTTATATCAGAAAACAAATGAACAGTATGGGACTGGTTGAAAGAAGGTGAAGGGATTATGAACAATGGTGTGTGGGTTGACTGGGAAAGGGGGAGGAGTGGGTAGAGGGGGCCAAAGGGGAAGTAACTGGAACAATGGTAATAGCACGAACAATAAAAATAGCAAAAAATAAAAAGAAAGCAAACAAAACAAAGCAACAAACAAAACAGCTCATTTCTACATAAAATAATTTATCTGGACATTCAGTTAACTTCCACACAGCTGAGCAAAAAGTGGTGACTATTCAGTACTTTAGATAGAATTTATAAAGCCCAGGTATCACATATTTATTACTTATATGCAAAATCAGTGTGGACCAGAATAACTCTGAATTTAGTCTTTGAAGAAATTGATTGTATTGAGGTACCAATTATCTAGATGGTCACCTCTACTTAAATGATTGTTTTCAAAATGGTATGTAAGGTGACATAATTGATCTTTTCTGGAGGGGAGTTCCAATTTGGTTTAAGTCCGTACCTAGTGTATAAACCCTATGTAAGAGTCTTGCTATCTGAAGACTAAAGACTTCTCAACATGTTTAAGAGTCCTGAACAAACTTCAACAATCTGGACCATCTTAGGAGACAGAGAGAGGATCAGAGACTGTCCCTCTCCTTCACTTACTTCTGGAGACTCTAACAACCTCTGCAGCTGGGATGTCCACATGTTCTACTGCAGCATGAAGAACATAAATACTGTGGTGACTCTGAATTCTTCTGAAGTAGGTTTCTGTTCTAAAATCTAAAGAAAACCACTTTGATTAGCCTTCTCTGTGTGACTGATTAAATAGTCCCACTATTTAAGTAGAATTGACTGGTAATGGTATTCCCACTAAATTCAGATTTCCCTGAGACTTTGCTGCAAATTTAAGGCTCACTAGCATCACTCTTCTTATTATATAAACATCATTCTGCTAAGTTTTCTGCATTTTTTGGAAGCATTCAACAAATATACCAAATATCAAGCTGACCTTTTAGTATAGTCTCTTGGACGCTCTATCCTCTAGAATTGTTGTAAAGGCTATTCATACAGTTTCTTTGCTAAATAAGTCTAAAGAAACAATTTTATGTCTTCCTTCAATGAGATTCATGAGAAGCACAGTTGTAATCTTGTTATACAAGGTCTGTCCAGGAAAAGTACAGCCATTGTTAATATAATGAGAATGGTTTGCACATCAGTGTAACGTGGTAGCCAAGGAGAGTGAACTGGAATGAGTACATGTGAGCAGTGATGACTTCACTGTACTAGTCACTGGGGGCAATAGATGCTGTTGAATGAGTGTGTGTACTGTGTGGTTTTCACATTCAAAATGACTGAGTGAATAGAGCGATAAATATAAATCAAATTTCACATTAAGCTAGAATATTCCTCCACAGAAACTATTCAGATGATTCAGAAGGCCACAGCTGTGAGCAACTGGTGACTAGCAGCTTCATCCCAGTGTACCCACTCATGCATCACATCTTGTGCAGTTTTTTTGGCAAAACATAAAATCACCCAGGTATTCAGCCCCCCTAGAGTCCAGAGTTCATGCCCTATGACCTCTTGTTTTTCCCAAAAGTAAAATCATCTTTAAAAGGGAAGAGATTTCAGAGACTGTTGATGAGATTCAGGAAAATACGATCAGGCAGCTGATGGCAATAGGGAGAACTGTGTGAAGTCCCAAGGTGCCTATTTTGAAGGGGACTGAGGTGTCACTGTCCTGTGTATAATGTTTCTTGTATCTTCTACAACAAATGTCTATTTTTCATAGTATGTGGCTTGATACTTTCTGGACAGACCTTGTATATCTTGCTCAAAAACCTAATTTTTTTAAAAAAATTGACTGATGAAGAGAGGAGAAAATAACATTTATTAGGTATAGACTTTTCTGTGCACTATACTAGTTACTTTATATACTTTACCTTATTGAATATCATAATATTCTAATAAGGAAGGTCTTATAAGACCCATTGTACAGATAAATACTAAGGCTTAGGTAGATTACATTAATACAGCTAACTGAAGTTTGGTCTAAAACAGCAATTAGAATATCTAAACCTAAATCCTGGCTTCACCGATGCTAGCTGTGCAGTCTTGTGCATGTCACTTACCGCTCTGTGTCTGTTTCCTCTCCTGGATTATGAGAATGATTGGACCTACTTAATGAGAAAAATTCATAAGATAATACACATAAAGCACTTAGAACAGTGCCAGATATGTAAGTAAACAATCAATAAAAGTTAGCTATCATTATTAGCTTGCCTAAGTTTATATGAAAATCCATGCTCTTTTCTCAGCATCACAGTTGGCTCCAGAACTCAAAGCTCCTCATGATCTGGTCCCTTTACTATTAGTTCATCTACTCTTCTCAAATATTCTTGATACCTTACATTATTTATTGACTCGTTTATCCTCTTATTTAACAAACACTGTTGCCAGCTTTCTTTGACCTTGTCAAGGTGGAGATACAAAAACCATTGAGACACACAGTACCTTCTCCATAGACTTTTCAATTCAGTAAGAAAGGTAAATATCCACTGTATTATCTAGAGAATTACAGAGAT